ATAGATATAATATTGCAAATTACTGCTGGGTTTAAGTATCAACGCTGAAATTTCCACTCTGACACAATCCTAAAATCGCTATTGCTTTTCCTAAACGTATAATCAAAATTTCGCCTTAATTTTTTTTTTTTTTTTTTAAATCTGAAAGATTTTTGGTTTTAACAGTCGCCCAAAAGAGTTTGTTAAGGTTTTTACGCTCTCGCTGAGCTCACAGTCTACTAGTCTGCTGTTAAACCTCACTCCTATTAACCCCTTTTTTTTTTTTTTGTCTTTTTAGCTTTATTAAAAAGTATCATTTTCTTCAGACTTACGCTATGCATGGTCCAACAGGAAAACCGCGAAAATTTTAATAGCAGGATAGCAGTGTACGTTTAGAATTCCGCATGCAGCGTTTAATGTTTTCCTACATTTTGTTTTGTTTTGTTCAGTCTTTTCTCAGTTCCTCATATCAATGATCAGTTTTATTACTAAGAAAGCAGTATGTGCCATTTATTTCAGCGCTTACAGAAATAATTTAAGATTTAAATTCAGAAATTTTATAAAACTGATTAACAAATTTAAAACTGGAATAGGGATTTTGTTCAGAAGTACTAAAAAGACGAAACGCGATCCTTATGAATTGTTGATGATTGTATACAGGGTTTCCAATTGTCTTGAAAAGTCGGGATCTTTCTGTGGAATCAACAGCGATTTTAATTGCTAAATAGTTTAAATCTACTTTTTTACTAATTTAGCATTTATAAATTATAAATTCTAATTTAATTAATTATAAATTCCCATTTCTAGTTTCCACAATAATACACCTTTACTATCTAAATTTTCTTTCGCATTTCCTAGGCGATAAACTTATCTTCAAATTAAATATTATTGTAGGTATAATAATCTTTTTATTATTGATATGAAAGCAACAGCGTAAAGAAAAAGCATACAAACGATTACATATTTTATTTTCAAAGAGAACTTTATATTTATTAATTGGATTTCATTTACTTTTATTTATCCCCATTCTCGAACCATAGTGTACGGATAACCTATTTCGAGAAAATGTGTAGCGAAAGCTCATAATAGATGACGTTGGATGTGTGCTTCATTAACTATACTTAAAATACAAACAGTAATAAATCTACTACTCAATATGACTGAGAAGTACAGGTTGTTTTAAAGTCATCAGAATATGGTAAAGCACACGAGGACTATCTCCCTAGAAAAAGAGATGCCTTTCATGGATTACTTGCTAAGGTGAACTAGCTTGTATTCATGTTACACAAACAAAAAACAACGAACACCAAATATAAAGCCAACCCGTTTGCCTGGAATCGAAACCTAATAATTCCCAGTATTTAGTTGTGTTAAACACTCGCCCACTGGTTGTGCTGGGACTGTTTTTAAATGATTCACTTTATCATGCTGATAAAAAAGCTCAACTACTTTAACATGGGAGACAAATGAAAACTGTTATGCTATTTGAACTGGCAAAGTTCGACTCTGATTCTGGGCTTCAGTTATGATAGGCTAAGTTACCTTAATTGAATATGGAAAAACTCCAAAAAACCATCTGCCTAATCGATGCCCTCATGGAAAACTTTCCGAGGCAACCCACCTCATTCATATTCACGTTACACATGAAAAATAATCAATGATGCAGTCAGCTCATTCGTCTGGAATCGTTTTCTGGTCGATTGGTTTAGTTTATTATGGCAAAGCATGCTAAGGCTATGTCTAAGGGAAGGGATGCTTTCGTGCAGGACTTTCTAAGGGAAGCAGGCTTGTATGCACGTTACGCATGGGAAAAGCCACGAAATCGCCCATGCAGTTAACCCGTTCACCTGAATTCGAGCCCAGGTCAGAATTACCAGAGTTCATCGATTTTACCGCGTACTCACTTTCTGGACGAACTCCCAATATTCAACGGTCTTAACCATTCGGCCACTGGTCGGAATCTGGGGTTCTGATGTGATCTGAAAGAGAAACTGCGAAATACTCTAATTTAATGGTGCATTATGTCAATATGTATTTGGAATGGCTTAGTAATGCTCTTTCATTGTGCATCAATAATAATTTGAAATAATTTAATAAATCACTTATGCGTAAATGTTTTCTAAATCATGAGTCATTTCTAAATTTATTTGAGAGCATACTAAATGAATCATTTTTGTTAAATAGTCTTTCTTTATATTATCAATATGCTTCTTTTCATGTAAAAAAAAGTCTTATTCATTGCCATATTGCTTTAAGTTAAAATGTTGTTCAGTACACGAATTCAACTTAAATAGTTGATTTCGTAAATGGGCCTCAGGTGTATTTATTTATACAACAGCTTGATGTTAAAAAAGAAAAAGTATCTTCTCCATTAATCAATTTTCAGTTAATACATGGAACAATTCTATACACAAAATTATTTCATACGGCCAGAGGCTATGCAGCGAACTCAACCGCGTGTTTAGGGAATTACTTAAAACCACATCATGTAAAATGTTCTTTCTGGGGACATTTTCACCTGGCCCACCCATCACAATTACCTCCAATTAGGCACATCTGTGTCTGTCGCTCGATTGTGTACAGCAAATTACCATCTTTCTTATTTATTTAACATAAATGCTTACATGACTTAAGATGTTAAGCATCTTGAGTACCCATGGCAATGGCGGAAATAAGCGTTACCTGAGTAGTCTCATTACCGCACAGGGCCTCCGAAAACCATTAATACAGTTTGCTGACGCGGAAGAAAATAGGGCGGTGAATGCTATTTTGGCACAAGAACACAAAGAATGCCACAAAATTTGTTTAGTTGCTCAGGGGGTGAAGACCGCAATATTGCGTATATTGTTGATGCATGCGATACTGATAGCTCTAAAAATCATTCAAATTTTTCTGTTGTATTCTTGATTTCCTATTATAAAAAAAGAGTATTATAGTCATAGATGTGTTAATCTTTGTTATATTCACAGAAGCTATGGTTCTAAGATATGAGAGTATTAAGAAGATAGTCATACATACGGATACATGATTTATAAATTCTGTGTTTGAAAGAGGTGTCAGTGCATATATGCAGTTCGTCTACAGAGTTTTAGAACTAAGTTGATACAAAATAAAAATTGAAAAAAAAAAAAAAAAAAAAAAAGGTATTCTAACTTCTTAACCTTCATTAACTAGTCGCTGTAATTCACAACATTTGGCACATTCTCATTCTTTCGTAGAACTGGTTTTTGTGGAATACTATTAAAGTATTTGTGAATTCCTTAAGTGCTATTAAAGTAGTTACCTATGATTTGAGACATCGTTTTAAAGGGAAAGGGAGTAATCTGCAGGTAACAACTCTGGTGAATAAAAGATGGTTAAGAACTGGGGCAATTTTCTTTGGTAGAAACTGCTTGAAGGGAATGGAATTGTGTGACAGTGCATTGCCAGTGTGACATAATCCAATTATTCTACTAAGATTTTTCAGGCTTTACGCAATGAAGTGACTTCAGAAATCTGTTTACCATTATTAAATATAGAGTTCATCACATGTTTCTCAGGAATAAATTCTTCGTGAATTATCCCTTTTTCGGGGAGGGGGAGAAATAAAGTAGTTTTCACTCGAGATTTCTGAAACCAAAGTTTCTATGTTCATGCTGAAACTCCTCCACTTAAGGAAATGATTGCCATTTTATCTCAGGATCTGTAATCACAATTAAATTGAAATACTCTGCTGCTTTTCCTACTTTACATAAAATTGTTTTTGCTGTTCTTTACTTAGCTTTCGTACCCATCGCAGCAGATGTTCGCCAGATCAACGCAAACAATTAACTGCCAGAAAATTCCATTCTACGCTTTCTAAAAAGTAAGTTAAGATGTCATCGTAATAAATGCGTCAATTATTTTTAGTAGGTTTACTAAAATTGAAGAAACTAGTCCTAAAACTTTGTGGAAACACTAAGTGCAAACAAATATATTTACTCGTTTCTGAACTTTGCATCTCAGAGAGCTAACAATGAAAACGTTATGTACTTGAGGGAAAACTCTCTTTGATATGCATAATCTTGGATTTTCTTTAATTTGCATCTTGCTGTTGTTGTGATTTATCTCACTTGTCTGATAGTAACATCAGAACAAGCCCTCGAAGATAACCGTGGCAAGGAGTGCAAGATTGCGCTTGTCGTTGGCAAGTATATTGAGCACCGTACAAGTGACAGAACGACTTCGTTCAGTCCCGCTCCCTAGTTTTGATGGAGAGCATCCCGGGGAACAGGTCCGAGGGTCTCCCACCCTCTTTCCCTACCACCAACCTCTCGAGAGTACTTTCGGCTCGCCGCATATTTAGAGGGCCCACATCCCGCACAGACCTTATATATTTACAAATATCCATGTCTTCTTCGGGATTCGAACCCGGGCCCTTCAGTACGGTAGTCAGCGTCGCTAACCACTATTCCTGTTGGGAGGCTTAATTTGCATCTTTTTGGATTTAATATTCTTTTATTTGTCTAAGCTAACAACATTATTAAATTCTGAGACATGCTGGCATGAGTTTGCTCTTCTTATCGAAGGCATAAAACGGTCTCCAACAGCAAAAGCGACGAGTAAATGTGATTTCCAAGAAAAAGTTATGAAAGAGAGATTAAAAAATTATACCTTCGTACTTTAATACTTCTTTCTATTTATTTCGGCATTTCAGTCTACCTTTTATACAACATCGAGGAGTCATTACTCTTACCTATAATTTGCGCATGTCCTGAGATTATAATCATTTGCGTATCTCAATTTTACTTCTTATGCAGATTTCAAGTTTTTAGTGTGCTTCCTTCATGATATAGCAATTTTATTGGGCAACAGCGTATATGCAAGCATCTAGATGTTACAAGTTCTGAGGCGGAGGTATTTTTGTGTATTTTTTAATAGGTTAGGCAATTATTTACCACAACGTATACGAGTATCGTTTCTTTAATTGTTCTTTCATATAGAGTTTTTTTAAAGGGAATTGATTTATATTCGCATTAATTTTTTTTTTTTTTTTTAAAAAGGGGGAAAGAAAGAAAGAAAGATGTAGCAAGCTTGTTTGGTCATCGGAAACTGAATACTAAAAGAACTGTCAATCTTCTGCCCGTTTAGCCAATGGGTAAAATACATTTTAAAATACTCTACTTCGTTAATTTTTAGTTTTAATGATCTATATGTTATAAAAAATTAAATACATTGTATAGTCCCTTTAAAAAATTTCAAATTCTCTTAATCCGTATGACGCCTAGAGACTGCCATATATCACATTAATTAATTAATTTCGGCAATGCCTTTTAAGGCAGTGTGATTAGGAAGGGGTGCCTTTGCTGTCCATATCAATATAACAATTAGAAAAAAGTGGCTGTCATCTCCATGGGGTCCGGAGAAGGACTCCTGGATTACGTAGGGATGTGTGCGTCTACCATGTCTGCGAAATGAGGGAACATATAATCCGTCGATTCGAATGTCCTCTGGAGAGACTGTTGGTAAAGAAGAGGATCAACAGACTTTCGGATTCCACCCTTTGAAGGCGCTCGATAAAAACTGGGATGAAAGTAGATAATTATCTCGTATATGCTGTGCCATACTATTCTTTTTAAACCAAAATAGGTCATTACTTCCCTATCATGAAATCCCGAATTTATTCAAACAGCAAATCTATTTGATCAAGGGCATTCGAATCTAAGATACAGTTACCAGTGTTTTGCCGTTTTAAAACATCAGCCATTAATGATTCTGTTACCATTTTTACTGCTCGGGCGTATATTATATAAAAACAGCTCTGTTTCGTTACTTGTAAATTTTTATCTCTTTGCGTCTTGATATTAATGTGAAACTATTAAACATTTCACATTTTTACTTCCTTGTACGAAGTAAAAAAGAAGTATTGTAATCGCGAAAAGTTTCAGGCAGCATATTTCAACGAAAATATCCATTTTGACCGCTATCGAATGCAATTTAACGATGTTTTTGCGTGATATCTGTACGTAAGGACAGAATAAAATACTCTTTTCCTTCAAAAAATTATAAAACTGCTTTAAAAATGAATTGAAGAGAATTTTTTCGTGGCGTCTGTACGAACGTATGTACGTACGTGCGTACGAACGTATCTCGCATAACTCAAAAAACGAGTAGCCTCAGAACGTTGAAATTTTGTATATAGGACTGCTATAACATGTAGATATGCACCTCGTATTTTGGTTGCAATCGGCCGCACCAAACGTATATAAATATATTTATATATATATCCACTCTGTTACCCGGCTCAGTGATCTCAGTTTTCTTTACTCTTTATTTTTTATTTGTAAATTGTACATTTTTTGCTTTAAAAATGATTGAATTATGTTGTTTTTATCTTCCGGGTAAGGATTTTATGCCTTTAGTAAATCTGTGTGCAATATTTTTAGAATTATCAGCAATTTTAAAGTTGTTTAATTTCCGCTAAGCCTGTTTTTAATGGCGGCCATTGATGTTTACATTTGAAACAGGAGACTAGTGGATTTGTTGCCAATCTAGAGAAACTTAGCTTCGCAACAACAAAGATAACGCATTCATTTATTATTGCCAATTAAATCATGCTTAATTCTTTCTGGAATTTTTTTGAGGAAATAAGCGTTTGAGATTTACTTCGTAATTTTTAATATAGATATTTTGAGTTTTTATGTATTTTTTGCCTTCTCGCGAAGTGAGAACTGAATTAATTAAATGAGAATATTCAATCGTCTGTGAAAAACTGTTCTTTTTTTATTTTGTTTGCTTAATTTCTTTTATGCATAGTTTCTAGCTTTATTGTAGTATTTGAATAGAACATGTGGCAACGATTAGATAATTCTTAAATGATACAATTTTGTGCATTCTGAGTTATAATATGAATGAAATATAATACTGTTAAGTGAACCTAGCGCCAGAGTGTCGCTATGGTAAACAAAGTGAATTTTAAAGAATGCATTTATTCTATTGTGGTTTATGCGCTGTCGGCGAAGTAGGTTTAATTCAATGTAATAAGTTTAAATAAAATGCAAGAATAAATGCGTATAATTTAATATTCCGTACATGGAAGTCATGTGGTGTACACATCAGATTTTTTTTAATTGTAGATACTATCAACTTAATTATATTCTTGTTCGTTCGCTATTCATACATGTCTTTTATAATGAATATGTTCTTGCATCGGAAATAATTAAGACGTATCTCAATCACCATATTTACAGCCCACGCTCAAAATCCCCTGTACTTAATTCAAGCTGACAAACAAGCTGCAACGCTGAAAGAACAAGCAATAAATCACGAAAGAAAATCGAATTTCGAGAAGCTCATTTGCATTGCAAACTTAACATAATCATGAGGGAATGAATGGAAGTTGGTGCTGTGCGCTTTTGCTTTGCCTAACGCCCTTTAAATAAGCCAATATCTACCACTTTTCGGATTCAATCGATTCTCTGCTTCGTCATCTCCATCAAATGCATCGGTTATCGTTTAGAATACAGTGACTCTCTCTGATCTGTTTGCATTCTTAAAATTCATTTAGTTTACAAGGATGTCATAAATTTGTTCGAGACTAGATAGAGGGATTTTATACGTTACTTATTAGAATTTACTTTTTAGATCCAGCACTTAAGTACAACTAAAAGATTAAGGTAAATAATATTCTGAAATTCACATCAGACTGAAGTCCTTTAGAACTGCGAAAAAAATTCTAGGTTCTAAAGGATATCAGTTTGATGGCATCGGAGGCGTTGGAGAAGGCAGAGAGATTTTGAAAAATTGGAAGACTTAGGAAGCTTGAGTAGGATGGGAGTGGCGTACTTAACGGCATTTCAAAGTCATACCAAAATGTTTTAGTGGTATTTCCAATTTTATGAATAGCAAACATTAAATTGAAAAAAGTGAAAAATATGTAAGTAAATTTTGCTATCTTTATCATCACATTTTTCTGCAACACTTTCGGAACTGAGATAAAGTTTCATACAGATGGGAAAAAAAAGAAAAAAAAAACCCTCTTTTATATATTTCTTTCATAAATACTGCGAGCGAGAGTAGTACTAAACTTTCGAGAGTAGTATACGAAAGTAGTATTCAAGAATTTTTTTTAAAAGAAAAAATTTCGTGAAGCCAATAATTCCATGGGACGGTATTTATGATCCTGCAAGAGTCCTTTAGAACTCATCATTCTGTCTGGAACGAAAATATTTGAAAATTTTTTGGTCACACCAACTGCTGCATAAACAGTAAAAGCAAATTCACATTAGCCTTATTAGTGGAATTATATATATAGCTACAAATATATACGACTCTGTAATATGTGACTCACAAACGGACATGTGCCCTTGGTCTCCACTTCGGAAGGCTTTCAAATTCACCTATAATATCTGAAATATGTTAATTTTTTCCAACTTTACGTTTTAAAAATTGAGAACTAAAAGCAAGAAGAATCTTCGTGTTTCGTGTTTTAATTTTTTAGGTTTTTGATTTGGCTTTAGTTGCAGATACGCTTTACACTCTCATTGCATGACAATTTGGATTTATTTCTGTAATTTAATTAATTAAAGTTTGTAATAATATTATGAAAAATTATTAAGATTCTCCTCTTTATTCGAGTTTTCCCTCTTCCGGGGAGGAAAAAACCCCAATTTTAAAATGTAAATCTTTATATTTTGTACAATGCATAGTAAATTGAAAGCTTAAAAACAAACTACAGAAAACTGAGATGTATTTTTTGTTTACATATCTGTAAAAGAAAAGAAAAGTACATTATTAGGTTGTTTTGTAAAATAATTTATAAAATTCACTGTTAGATTGAAATTCTGTGATATCTGTAGAAAAGAATTAAAAATGGGAGAGCTTCCGTAAGAGACTTTGTCCTAGGCTTCCAGTTCGGCAAATTGGGCCTTTTTGGTCCTGGATATGGCTATGCGACAGAAACTTTGTCAATGGTCTTTTAAATCAGGAAATCTTACTCCGAATTTATTTATGTATATTTGTTTCGTTCCGTTTTCTGCAAAAATAATCAACGCTTGAAAATATACGAGTGTTAAAATGAAATAATGTATTTATTTATTTGTTTAATTTTGGGGTTGGCTTTGCTATTTTTTCTGAAGCCTAAAACACCTATCCATAATTTCAGCCACGTAAGATCACAAACGTCTATGGACTATGTAAATGAATATTATTATTTGAAACTGAAGCCTATTTAGCTAACCTTTTCGGGAGGGAAGAAGCGATTAGGCATAGCGTTCTTTTCTTGAAATTAAGCCTAGTTGCTTTTTTATAAATTTAAACACTCTTAGCAGTTACATGATAACTATATGGGGAAATAAATATGAATAAAGCTTAAATCCAAGAGACGATTTCAGTTTTCCACAAAGAGAGATTATGCAAAATAACCTTTTCCATTTACAATTACTTTTAAGACAATCTGTAACGTCTTTCAGAATTCTGGATTTACGTGGAACTTTGGTTGAGCAATTTTGTTTGAAGATAAATGCAAGTAATATTCAGAAAGTGATATGCCGATGAATCAAGACGGCGCAAAGCTTTTTGCCAAAAACTCTCTCTCTCTCGTTTGGGGTGACAATTCCTTTGCTTCTTCTCTCATTGTTTCGAGATAAGCTTATAAATGAGTAAATTAGAGCCTCTTCCGTTCATTTCTGTATGAAATTGGTGACGTGCTGTTAATTCCCTCATTTATGAACGTTATCCAAAAGGAATATAACCTTTGGAGCCGGAAGCGATTCTGATCTCTTATTGACGAACTTGTGTTTAGAGATTCTTTTAGATTTGAAAGGGATTGAACTTTACAAATCTTTTAAATAAAATCAGTGCTTCTTTTTTTTTTTTTTTTTTTTTTTTTTTAAACTTTTGTAATCATTTTATTGATAAAACGGATATTATTTTTGAAGCACTGCAACACTTTCCGTTATTCATGTAGAACAGGGGTCGGCAAACTACTCCCCGCCGCTTGTTTTTAATCCGGCTCGCGGCTGATATTGTTTTTTTTACATGAAATTACCACTTGCTACAGACGTCGTGGGATAACTCAACGAATTTAGTTTGAAATTTACAGAGGAAAACTGTACTCATACGTGAAGTGTGTTCTGTAGTAAAGGCATGTACGGTCAA